GATACCTAAAAGATCATACTTAAATTTTTTCATTAAAATAAAAAATCATGCAGCGCACTTTTAAATTCATTTTTGGTGTTTTCATTTGGATTGACTCTATAATATTCCTTTAAGAGGGCAACTAAGGGGTTTGGTGCATCTTTTCGTGAAAACTAAATGTATTATAGGGAGTTTTTAGACAGGTTCCTTGTTGAACACTCAACAACTACATGTGTTTAATTAAAATACATCTGTAACAAAACTATTTAATACTTTATATTTATGTATTGACATATTATAATAATTTTCACATTTAGTATTATATTACAAGAAAGGCAGTTTATTTTAACTAGTTTATGACATTTGACAACTGTCAACTGTCAAATAACTAAACTAACTTCAGCCCGTGACTAAAGCGCCATAAAGCCACAACTCGTCAATGTTTATTTAAAAGGTCACGTAGAGTCATGGAAACATGTACGATAATGAATAATTGATAATTGTTTTTAATTGTATATTTATTTTATATTAACACCTTTTGTTTATTTATATGTTTAAAACCTTTAATCTATTTATTTATTTATATTTACACAACTGCATCATTTTCTAAGCTGTTTTTCTCTTTTATATTTTAATTTAATGAACAGTGTATTAAAAAAAGGGGTAAACGAATTAGAATGAGAGAAAACTGTCACCATAATAATTATTATGGGTTATTAAAAATGTGGAGCATTGAGGTCGGGGATTAATTAAATAAAAGTTTTGTAGGCGTATTGAAAATAACTGAAAGAAGATCCAGCTATAGCTATTGGTATAAATCTATTAAATATACGTAAAGGGTTTTTCATTTAGAGCGTCAGAACTTTTAAATGAGATAAAAAAATAACTACATGTTAATCTATATCTATATTTTATATAGGTATTTTATTATATTATTTTATATTTTATTTTGAAGAACGATCGATGACATTATGTTTTAAATATAATATCGTTTAAATGTCCCCCTCGACGTTGCCTGACTGAATGCATTATGAAGGCCTAATTTCTACTATTCTTTTACAAATATCGCGTGGTATACTTTGAATACCTAGTGCGTTTAATGTTTCGTTTAAGGTCGAGAATTGTTCGTGGCTTATTTTTGTAAACCTGAGATTTCACATGATCCTTTAGATGCACAAAAGTTGACTTATTTGCCAGTAAACCAGTTTTTTCTTAAACGATAAACCTTATATTTCTTGCAACTTGCAAAATGTTTGGCAAACCGAACATGCATTTTGATGGTAAATACGAATTATTTCTAAGCGCTGTTAAATTGTTATCTGTCCATATTAATTTGACACAATGTACTGAACACATGACATTGTGTTGTCAAGATTTGACATTTACATTCCAGAGCAGCCTTATTTTTAGGGTTAAAGTTATGACAGTCAAAATGGAAAACCCTTTATTTTTGACATGTCAAAAATACCTATATTTATTTTACAATTATTGTTATTATTATGCATAATAATTACAATTCTTATTTTTAATGTTTATTAATGGGAAGTACTTACATCTTATTAATTCACATACAATAAATAAAAATTGTAAAATGATCTACAATACCTATTATAGGTAATATAATATATAATATGTAATATATTATAATACTTACATAAATATATACACATATGCACAAATATATACACATGTACAATTGGCGTTCTCGAAATGTGAACGATTTTTGGTTGTCGTGGATTTTTTTCATAAAATTAATTCGTTTTTTCCTGGCTTCGGCCAGTGGTGTTACAAATAGAGGGGATAATACTAAGAATAAGAATAATTTTTAATAATATTTTAACAAACATATATATATATACAATATTACAAATAAATTAACTTTAATTTGGTTTTGTACAACAATATTAACAAGTAGGTAATTAACAAATAAAAATAACATAGCAAATTTAACATATTGCTCAAGAAAATTGGTCTTTGAGTGAAATAGCAGCAGATTTAAATGTCTTAAGCTTGTAGCAAAGTGGTGGAAACTTGCCGAAGGTGTGGGTGGTAGGTTTTTAAAGACTGTAATTCCTGAACACGCTTTATTCTGTTAAGACAAATTGACCCTCAAATTGGTAACATTTCTTGATTCTTCGGTTATTAAATCTAAAAACTGTTTCACCACTTAATTTAAGTGAACATAAAATAATATATTAATTTAGTTACCTGTTTCACCAGATAACTTTTCGTTTAATAAAACGAACATTAATCCCGAGGATGATAACAAAATGTAAAGATCTAAAACGTTGCAAGCAACTGCTAAAGACAACAGGCAAATGGTGGCCGAGTATCACCAAAAAAACTATTAAATTTCGCGGGGAATTATTAAGGCGGAAAATTTGAATTAAGACGTGTTACCAACTTTACACAATGATAATATCGTATAATGAATAAAGTAGTACAAACATAACCAAATCGCTTCAAGCTCTTCAATAATTTTCAACAGCATTCCGTGAATTATTTCGTTTTGCTGGCTTAAAAAACTGTGCTGCTGCTCATAAGCTAATTTAATACTTAATTGCAGAGACATTAGCTGCCACAACACTTTGCAATCTTCTTGGCATGGACATTATTAGGTAACGCATGTCGTATGATTCAGCAAGCTTTTCCCAAGAATTTTCAACAGCATTCCGTAGATCATTTCGGTTTGCTGGCTTAAAAAACTGTGCTGCTGCTCATAAGCTATTTTAATACTTAATTACAGAGCCATTAGCTGCCACAACACTTTGCAATCTTCTTGGCATGGACATTATTAGGTAACGCATGTCGTATGACTCAACAAGCTCTTCCCAAGAATTTTCAATAGCATTCCGTAGATCATTTCGGTTTGCTAGCCCAAAGTCCCGTTAATATAATTTTTTAAATATAAAACCCCACACGTTTTCAATGGGGTTTAAGTCAGGACTTCTAGCTGGCCATGGCAAAACAGTTATGTGGTTGTTGTTTACCCACTCGGTAACGCGAGCTGTGTGAACTGGTGCATTGTCCTGTAATATAATATATATTAGAATCATTTTTCTATACTATACAGTTTTTTAACATGTTGGAATATAACATTTTCTGGAAACACATGTCTAACTGAAGGAAACACATGTCTAACGGTCGTATAGCCGTTAATCTACCATCAATTTCCCAACATATTCCCGCACCATGGACGCTTATCAACTCCCAAACATTTATAGAAAAGCGTCCACTATTTGAGGTTCTTAATGTGTAGATATTCTCAATCTTGCGTCTCTTGGACAATATACACGCCACCTTTTATTATTGCAAGATTGGAACGTTTTTTCATCAGAAATTTTAACATTATTCCAAAATCCCTCTCCATAATTTAGATGGACTCTCCTGGACTTATTCTCGTCAGTTAAAAAAAACCTTATGAGCAGCATCAAAGTTTTTTAAGCCAGCTGTTAAAGAGATCCTGGAAATTGTGTATCTTCTCGGACCTTAAATGCGCTATTAAAAGGATTTTGCCTAATATGTGCGACAAGAGCATTGACTTCATTTTCTTTGAAGATTTTACATACACCTTGCCTGATAATCTTTGTTGTTCTTGCCAACGTTTCTTGATATAAAATATGCAGCCTTTACTAATATTTAAATCTGCAGCCACTTCACTTAAAGACCAATTTTATTTTAATTTGGCTATTGTCCTGGACCTCTGAGCCTCAGTTAAGTGGGGTGGAATTTTTGATTTTGCAATTGACAACTATTATCAAATTTGACAACTACCGACGACACTGATGCAAAGCCCATATTACACGATTAAATTTTGTCGTTCACATTTCGGGGACGCCAATTGTACATGCAACAAAAATGAAAACAAAATAATGATATTTATTGATAATAAAAATATCCAGAAAAAAATCAGTTAAAGTAAGAATTTTAGTCCCTGTTTAGTTTAGTATTTCTATTTTTTATTTCCGACCTCAGATATTGATCGAGCAATCTAATTAATCTATTTTAGAGAAGAACGAAAAAAAGCGCATCACAAAAGGAGAATGTTTAACGCGTTGTTACATACAAAATGTTTAAGGAAAATTATTTCTTCATATAATTATGGCTGGTACGCTTAGGCACCTTTTCTCGGAGCGCGTCACATAATAATATTATGTATAAATAAAAGAAATAATGTTTATAATTCTTATAACTTATAACCTTTAATTATTTTATCCAACACATGACAGATATGACTGTCATTATTAATGTCATTTTAGACAAGTAAACTATAAAATAACACACTAGTTTGTTATAATCCATAACTCACTAGTAGTGATTCCCACGAGACCAACAAGACGAGACTTTCATAAAGTCTTGTCTCGTCTCGCCGATAAAATAAAAAGTCTTGGTCTCAAAGACATGTATTTTTTACACAAAATGAAATCCTTCTTCAAGTATGGTGAAACTACTCAATTTCTTGGTTTTAGTGTCTGGCAAAACTACACTGAAAGAAATATAGATGCGCCAGTAGTCAGCCCTTTAGTGATAGACTATTCTGTCAAGCTCTATAGAACGACTGATATTTTATGTAGATAGTGTAGACATACTTTATTTCCTTCCTACATTGTCCTTCCTTCTTATTTCAACGTCCAAAAAGCGTATAAGGCATGTCGATTCTTAAAAATACTAACATAATTGCAAAAGTTTCCAAATCCCAGTAGTCAGCCACCAAAAATCTGAGTTCGGCCTTTACCAACCCAGTAGTCAGCATAGCACTTTGAATTCATTGGTAGGTAAAAAAACTTTATTTAAAAGGTACAAAACTTTATTTAAAATAACTTCATAGGTAGGTAAAACAAAAAAAACAGTTATAAAATTCATATACCTAACAATATAAGAAAAAATTCTCAAAATAAAATAAAATTCTTTATCAAAACAAATAAAACATTTATAAATATTTTTTCAGAAACACAAAACTAAGCAGTGCTTATCTATACCTAGGTAACTATAGTTACCTAGTTAGGTAAAATAATTACAAATTACGAACAGGTTGAGCACTTGAACTGTTCGTTTAATACATCATTGTATGCCATACCAATAAATTCGGTACACTTGAGGTGAAACCACTTGTAACAATTGTCGCACCCTATATTTTTTTCTTCATCTTCTTCGGCTTCGCTAATTAACTCTTCCCCACACTCTTGGCACATTTCTTTGCAGTTACCGTGGCTTTTGTTGCTTTCCTTGGAAATAGCTTTCCTGGGTTTTTTCTTTATATCCTTTTTTCTATTTCTTTTTTCATCGGCTTTTCGTTTTCTTGCTTCTTTTTTCTCTTCTTTCTGTTTTTGTTCTTCTAACTTTTTGTCCACTTTATGTTTTAAAAATGATCTAAATGCTTCCGATGAGATTGCTGCTGGCTGTTTTTCTCTAACTCTTTTCTGTGTTTTTTCTATTGGTTTGGGCCAAAATAAGTGTGCCAATATTCCGCTTGTTTCATTACTTTCCGGTTTAGTCTCCTCTTGATAAGATCCTGAAGCAGGACTTATTGGGGAAATAAGATTATCCAATAAAACATTTTGAAGTACTCGTATTTGCTTTGAAGCTGGTACAGCTACCAGTTTTTCTATACCATCCATTTGAAAATTTTCTTTTCCGACATCCACAACACTTTTTGTATATTCCTTGATTTTCGTATTTTTTTCATCGTCGTCCAAATCCATTTCTTTTCCTAAATGTTCTTTTATAATTTCTTTGCTTTCAATATTATATCTATCGTTATCCAAATTAAATTCCGCTTTAATATGTTCTTTAACAAATTCTATTGTATCCAAATCCATGTATTTTTCTTTTTGATTAATTTCTTTCAATTGTTTGCCTTCAGAATTACTTCTATCGTCATCCACATTAAATTCCTTTTCAATAGGTTCTTTAACAATTTCTTTTGTTTCTTTGCTTTCAGTATTATTTTCATCGTTATTCAAATCAATTTTTCTTTCGACATGTTCTTGAACCATTCCTATCGTTTCTTTGATTTCAGTGTTGGTTTCCTCGTTGTCCAAATTGATTTCTTTTTCGACATGTTCTTGAAAAATTACTTTCGTTTCTTGGCTTTCCATATTTTTTTTTCCATTGTCAACTTCCATTTCTTTTTCGACATTTTGATCAATTTCTTTAGTATCCAGAATTTTTCTTCTTTCAACATCATAATCAATATTTTTTTGTTCAATTATTTGTACCTCAAGGTCTGTTCTGTCATCGATATTTTCAATATCTTCATTATTTTCACTAAATACGCTTACTATCGGTAAAGTCCATATGTCATAATTCGTTTCGTTATATTTAAATAGGTCAGTTTCGTTATATTTTAAGTCAATTTCATTGTTATCACTTGGATCTTCAGTTACCACTTGAAGCATTCCATCTTGGAGGACTTCGAATGTGGTCAAGTCTTCGACTATTTTATCACTCTTTTTCAGCTGTTTCACTTGTTGAAGAACTCGTTCAACTTGAATTCCATCATCCTGTAGATCTGCCTTCAGCACTCTCAAAACCTTTTCAGCAGCTTCGATTTCATGTTTCGAAAGAGTCGGGTGGTTCTCAACATTCTTCTTAGTGTTAAGGTTTTCTACATAATTTTTAATACATTTTGTGTAATCAACGTTATTGGAGTCGAAAGGATAGAGACCGCATTTCTTAAAGCCATTTATTATTGCTTTCGCAAGTTCAGTCTGGTCTAGAGTCTCTTTTAAAAGAGGAGCAAATGATGTTTTTGTAATCACACAATTTTGATTTTGGGGTTTTCCTTGCCAGTTTCTAACGGTCTTTTTCCAGTTCGCCTTTAAAGGCCTAAAAACGCTCACGTCAGCCGGTTGCATCATGTGGGTTGTGTTGGGAGGAAGGCTATATAATATAATCTGATTCTGACTGCAAAATTCACTGACTTCCATTGTCAAATGGGACTTATGTCCATCAATAAATAAAAGAACGGGTCTTTTAATATTATGTTCGTCAAGCCATTTATTGAAACCGTTAGCGATGTATTCGAAAAATACATCACCTCGCATCCACCCTGTTTCGGATCTGCCTAAAAACCAGTTAGGGGGAAGGCTATCTACCAGTGCCTTTGGTGGCCTTTTGTAGGGAAATACTAACATTGGATATACAATTTTACCGTCTGCTGAAAACACCAGTAACACAGTGATCGTCTCTTTTTCAGCAGCCATCTTCACTTCGTAAATATCTTTCCAGCCCTTTGGGGCTAATACCTTTCCAGTCTTTGGGCACAGCGCGAAGGATGTTTCATCGCCGTTAAAGATTCTCGACGGATCAGACAATATATCAATGACATTATTTTCTTCTAAAAACTGTGATAAGTCAGCAAACCACTTTCTGATATATTCCTCCGTTATAACGCTTCTACCTTTGCTCAAGCCCTCAGGTTCTCTAAGTACAATATCAGGATGTCGTTTTAAAAATAATGAGTACCATTTGTCCCCGGGTCGATTGTTCTTAAAAGGTGTATTGGATCGTTGTTGTTCTTTAAGAATTTGCTGGATGCTATCTAGAAGATCAACTTTTTTTCTTGGAAAAGCGCATTTTGCTAAATCGGTAATCCATTTTACCAAATCGTTCTCCTCTTTGTTACTAAGTACTGTTTGTGGTCCCATTTTTCTTGGACCATGCTTTACTCGTCCATGAATGCGATCTTGCAACGTTCCTCGCGGTACACCAAAAGTTTTGCTTGCCGCTCTAATAGTCGAGCCATCAAATATAGCTTGCATAGCATTATTTAAAGCCTCTTCGCTGTACTGATGGATCGGTCTTCTAATAGAGGCCATTTTAGTTTATCTATAATAAACGGAACATACGCAATAGTTCTTGAATAAGATAAAAAAGAGTGTTTTCAAATTCGGCCGAGTACTGGATGTAAGAGACCAGTAATCGGCCATCTGATATTTCTAGGGGCCGACTATTGGTTTTACTTTAATATTATGGCGTATTTTCTTCATAATTTGAAAGTCCAAAAGCAACATTATTGAACCTGAGAATTTGGTCCAAATTGGCTTATTTAGCTTTATATCCAGTAGTCAGCCCTGGCGGTTGACTTTTGGATTCACCCATGTTTTAGATACCAATAGTCAGCCCCCGGTCAAAATTAAATAATTTGCTCAATAACATTGATTTTAGCATTAAAAATAGAATCAGAAAGAAACTAAATACTATCAAAAACATACCTTAGTTAGATATGTGCACAAATTTTCTTTTTAAACGCTAATTTGAATTTAGAAGGCAGTTGCAAATTTATCTTCTTTTTGTAACCCTAAGTTAACCGCCCACCCTTTCACACTGGAGAATTAATTTTTAGTTATTTCTACTACCGCTAGGGGCATCAAATTTTAACGGTTGGTGTAGGGTGGATTGCCGTAAATTAGGCGCTTTAAATCATTTAGATGTTTTAAATCAAATGCTATTTATTTCAATATTTAGTCGAAAGAGGCTGACTACGGGGGGGTGGCTGACTTTAGGCGCATCTACCTATGTTTGTTTTAGCAATGTTTGTGGTTCATATATGGACTACCACATACATTGCTAAAACAAACATATATTATATTTAGTTTTAACATAATATGTTAAAACTAAATATAAAAATGGTTAAGGTAAATATATTATATGTTTGTTTTAGCAATGTATGTGGTAGTCCATATATGAAACATAAATTTCTTTCAGTGTACATGAAACTATTTCCCTTTGTCTTGAATATTTTCTATTTTCTAATTGACCAAGTCATCGCATCTACAGCACCCCTAAGCCCCATTATCAAAGCCACTTTCATCAACAGGTATTCGTCGTCGGGAGCTTCGTTCAAAAACTTCTCTATTTCAGGTCGTTCTAATGTCTTGGACTTCTTTGGTTTGTATCCATGTGATTTGCTTCCGTAAGGATATCCGCAGGAACGTAATTTTCATCGGTTTCCTCCATTTTCTATCCGTTTTTTTCTTCAAAAAAGCTTCCCTTTTCTGCAGGGAAAACTGACAAGTATCAAAGTTTATTTAAACATTTGTTAACAATGTATCATGCCCGTGGCAACCAGACAAACAACCTACTTTGACCAAAATGTAAAAAAGTCACTGTCAAGTCATTCTGACATTTATAGGGTACTGAGATGCAAGTAGCTTTGATTTGATCACAAAGCTTATTAATTATTATCTCATAAAAAACGATTTCTTCCACTTGTTGGATAAAACATTGTATGCCACTCGTGTGTTATGTTTCCTAAGTCACTTGAGAATCTTTCTCGCGTGACTTATTTTCAACATAACACACTAGTACCATAATAGCATTGAGTTCCACTTCCACTCCTTACTCAATGATAATAGTATATTATGTATCAAGTTTTGTAAACGCCATTTTAGTTACGAGTTTAATTAAGAACGAGCGAAGCTTGCAAGCGAGTTTTTAATAAAAACGAGTGTCTAAAGAAGTTTATAAAACGAGTTGCATACTATACTTTATCTACGACGAACATAAATAAGATTTTAAAGCCAATTTTATTTGTTAAAATTTTGACATCTGTCAACTGTCACCCGAATTTAACCTCACTTCTTCTCAATTTATAATAAAGCTAACTTCAGCCCGTGACGTAAAATGTCGAAAAGCCACTGTTGTTAACTTCAGCCCGTCAATAAAACGCCATAAAGTTCCAGCTCGTCAATGTAGGAGTAGATAAATAACTATTAATGACTTATGTCAGTGATAAGCCAGTTTTAAGCAATAATATTATGGTGACAGTTTTCTCTTATTCTAATTCTTGTAAGCTTTTTTAATAAATACCACTTTATGTAATGTAAAAAACTGTTAGGCAATTATTATTATTCAATTTGTTTAATTTATTTTTATTCTATAAAAATTGAATGAATGATGAATGGTTTTATTCAGGATAAAAGCTGTGTCCATATTTCAAAAGGGATTTATTTAATTAAATTTTTTGCCGCGCAATGTTTCCTCTAACATTTATCATAGTAATTTATTAACGTGTTATATAAGTGCATGCTTTCTTTATAAATTTATAAGAATGCACATGGTGTACAGTACACCGTGTACTACATAACCGGGATCAATTTAAAAATATTGGGTTCATAATTTCCGTATAGTTATATTCGAAAAAAAATTCCTGGGTTTAAAAGACCTTTTTAATGAATTAAGTTTATAAAAATTTAAAATTTAAACCCATTTTTAACACAAAAAATAAGAACGAAATATACAATTCAACACAATCTGAGAATCTGTATTGTGGTCCACAATTTGTGGATAATATTTGCCAGCTTCATAATTGGTTTTTAAATTTTATAACAACTTCAAGATGAAATAGAATTTTATGCCAATTAAAGGGTTCGATCGGGTTGTTAATATGCTGGAAATTAATTAATTAATCAATGGTTTTGCATTGCAATAAGCAACAAAATATGTATATTTGATTTATTTAATATATTGAAATATAGTTTTGTATAGCCTAATTTTATTAAATATAATAATTATTATAAATAAATAAATAAATAGAATCAAAATAAACATTAAGAATTTCCGAGACTTTTGGTAATCACTGCAGTGTATATTATAACTTGCTTTTCTTTTCTTACAAATATTAATAATTACCAAATTACTTTATTATGTAAAAAATATATATATAATAAGCTATGAACGCATACTATTAAGTTGTTTCTGTACATTTCTTACATTTTTAATTTAAAAACAGAATTTATAATTTAAAAGTTTTTAAGTTATTACCTCTACGATAATCCTTTTTATAATTTTTAACTGGTGATCTATAATGATCAAGTTAACAAACCTGGAATCAAATCTTTTAAAATAAAAATTATGATTTTATTTCGATACCCTTGTTAAAAAGCACTCGCGGCTTGTCATTAATCTAAACTATTTAATAACTTTTAAGACCTAGGGCAAAAATATATTTTGTTAAATAGGTAGGTACGTAATAACAATCAGAAAATGTTTTTACTTTTAATTAATTATACTCATAATGCAAACTCTGATTAATACTGCATATAATATATAATATACATTTTATGTATATATGTTTATCAGTGGCGGCTGGTGGATTTTGGGCACACCCATATCTCAATTATTGGACATGGGACCCACATTAAATTTATATGAGTTTATAATGACATTATATAGACAAGTACTGCGCAAGCAGATTTTAAATTGAAGTTTGCGAAAAAAGTTAGTTTTTAAGTCTGCTCCCCCAGCCTCCTGCCCCCCAATATTAAGATAATTCAAATTAAAGTGGTACAAAATTTCAAATTTTATTAAAAAAATTCAAGAATTACAGGTTTCATACCATTTTAAATTTTTATTATTTCTTTTACTAAATTTGAAAAAAAATAGAAATGGTATAAAATCTGTAATACTTGAATTTTTTTAATAAAATTTAAAATTTGTCGATAAATTTCAGTGAATTAAATATTGTACCACTTTAATTTGAATTATCTTAATTTGGGGGGGCCAGGAGGCTTGGGGGGCACACTTAAAAACTAACTTTTTTTCGCAAACTTCAATTTAAATTCTGCTTGCGCAGAACTTGTCTATATAATGTCATTATAAACTTAACCAACCAGGAGACTTCCTTAGAAGTATACAATATTAGAATATTTTATATTTAAAAGATAGCCAGAAAATCCTAATTTTAAATAACACAAAGGAAAATTATAAAAATTACCTGGACGCGGTCTGGATGTTAAAATTATATAATATAGTGACTAAAAAAAAATCTTTTTAACTTCTCGTGAAAATTCCTTAAATTCCTTAAAGATAATTTGACATGCACCTTTTAAAATTTTTATTTAAATATTGATTACTTACTTTGTCTATTTTTCCTATTTATGCAATGAAATTATATATTTTCGTTATATTCCATTTTAGGTCTATAATACGCGTCATTCCAAATTGGAATGGATCATTTGAATAATGGAAAAGTCGTTCTGCGTGAGATGATGTCACGCGTTTTGCCCCGGTATTTTGGGGTATGTAATATGCGCCTGGGGGCGTTATGTTAAAAATATGTAGACCGTAGAGCTTTTTATTTATTAGATAACAGCTTGTATACATTATAGAAATTTTTATTTCAGGTAGATATGTACATTGTACATATAACATGTTCAGATCTTTTTGCATGAGGTTCCATACAAATTTTATTTCCAGTTTATTTTAGATCTAGCAATGAAACTATGTATAAAAATATTTTTTTATAATGTATTATTTAAATTAAAACGATAAAAATATCATTGAATTAATAATTAAAAAGTGCCTTATATACAGGGTGTCCCGGTAATGGCGGACTGCCACGCTAAAAAAGAAGCTATTTTAAGTATAAAAAATTGTTATTTTTTATACAAAACGATAAAATTTGATTACAATCTAAAAGTTTATTGACCTAAGAAAAGAAATATAGAAATTTTCAAAAATAGAAGAACGCGAAAAACTTTAAGGATTTAAGAGAATGTATTTTTGGCATATTTTTAGAAATGTTTATTTTCAACATCTTAATTTATATTAATACAAATAGTCATGATTTAAATTAGTTATATGTAAGGAATTGAATGCAAATACAGACATTATTTGCTCTTAACCTGTAGGTTAGTAGAGAGTATACTCTCTTAAATGACTAATTTTCATAGCGAAAAAGCAGCCACTAATAATTGCAACCACATCAATTTATATCCAGAACATTTAACATTCAATACCTATGTTAAATTATTTTATATGGAAAATTGACTATATCTTAAAAACTGTTCTTTTTTTATATCTTTTGATGACATTTTCGGATTCATCGAACAATTTTACATAGAAATTGACTTGTAAATGTCCGAAATACAAATTGCTGTTGACAATAATTATTAGTGGCTGCTTTTTTGCTATAAAAATTAGTCATTTTTGACTAATTCATTTAAAGAGAATAAATGTAACTAAAATTTTTTAGCAATTACGTAAAGCGCCAAAATGTGCCATAAATGCATAATTTGACAATTTTCTAGATTCATTTGTTTATTTTTTTTAACTTGCGGCTGACTGACTTATCAAGACTTTTTTTATTTTTGTTTTTAACTTTTCTTTAAAAAAAATTACAAAAAAGTCCTATTCAAAGAAAGAAATGTTTTAGTTTTTCGGAAAAAAACTTCAGATTTTCAAAGTAACCTTTTCTTTTTTTAAACTTTAAATTTATTCTGCTCTAATACCGCAAATTCCATGGACGGCCAACTTTTCTTTTATTTTTTTTTACAATCTAATAAATATAAAAAAAGGAAAAGAAAATTTTACCCACCAATTTGGGGAATTAAACGCAAAATAAAATAAAGTTTTTCTTGAAATAAAAAATGGTAAATTTATCTTTTTTTCTAAAAAACTAAAAAACGTAACGAATAATTAAAAAAAATGTCTTGATTAATCAGTTTTTAAAAAAATAATAAACTTTCTAAAAAGATCCCCAAATTTTGGGTGGTTAAAAAAATTAGAAAAAAATTACAGAAACGTTTTTAGTGGGGTACTAAATTTTAGTAAAAGTGATCGTTTAATAGTGGTAGATTCGGTGTAAAATGCATATGTCTATTGTGGTTTTATAAAATATTAAAAACATATAAGTATTTAATTTTAAATTAGTTTTAGATTCTCTGCCAGGACGAAAGGCTACGGACCTGTGCATAATTTATGGTTTTTATCGTGCATGTTATACATCATAATTAAATGGTTTTAGTGTATACTTTTTACAGCCTTTTAAGTACTAAAAATACATTTTTTTATCTATTATTTCTGTTAAAGTATCCTTTTAGTACTATTTTATCTACGAAAGACAAGTTTAACGGTAGCAATTAAAAATAAATTTAATTAACTACTAGTAGATTTTTTTTAAATTTTAAAATAGATTAAAATAACTTGAATATTTTTTTTGTTTCAAATTAAATTGTCTTTTAAAATATGTAAAAATATACGACTGCCTTAGGGAATTCAATGAATGTCCAAAGGACGTCCCAATGTCAAAGAATTGGATCAAAATCGGTCGACCGAAAGAACGCCGAATAACATAAAAATGGACATCGATATATTGCCGAATAAGCAGTGTCCCCCAGTATAATTCAGGTTAACAAGAATAACGAAAAAATACAATTTCATTAACATAGTATTTATAGTTGTTGAGTGCAGAGTCTCTGATTGTGTTTATGCTGCCGTTATGGAAGAACAAACTTGTTTATATTACTTTAATTTAATTCTGCTAATTAAAATATATTTCCACGTGCAGATTAATTAGTTTACTTGGGGTGTTTAATCGTATGACTCTTTGCAATTGCAAACTGCATGGGGTACTTTGGAGAGAAAATTGTTTTAGAAACGATACTATAGCTATAGCTGCACTGGTTGTGAATAAAATTTAGGTAATTTTTTTTACAGCCAATACAGCTAGTGCCTTTCCTTAAACAATTTTATTTGTGCACGTGAAAATGTATTTCAATTAGCAGAATTAAATCCAAGAAATACCAACCACGGCAGCCAAACACAACAAACATGTTTGTTTTTTGATAACGGCAGCATAAACACAACACAAAAGACAGTAAAAAGTAAGGTTATGTCACATTGTTACCAGGGACAAAACAATAATTTAAGATATTTTAAATTTGAATGAACCGCGCTTCAAGCTGGTTCTTCCGGTATCCACTAGAGTCGCCACTCTTTTGTTTGTTTCTCTATGCGTACAACTTGTAACTTACAAGTTGTAAGGCATTTTTACCACCTTTCGCCAAGGTACATCGGTTTGGAGGGGCAAAATTGTATTTAGGGTATAGAAATATAGGTACCTGTATTTTTAGACAATATCGCAAGCCTTCACATAATTACAATTGTTTTAGTGAACGCAGTGTCGTAGAAACGGGGGTTGTTTAAGCCTATTGTCCCATATAAACTTTGAGGTTAGTTTTTTATACCATTTGATGCAATTTTTCGATTACACAGTTCGGCTACCATTAAAAAGGTGTACCTCTCAAACTTCGGTAAAATAAACCTTTTCCGAGATATTCGAGATTACAATAATTGTTATATCGCATTATTTAAAAGGATTAAAAGGTATATGATAACAAACTTTATTTTTTAATTGAAAAAACTAAAAAGGGCATTTCATGAGCCTCGGGCTTTTTGCCCTGACCGTCGCATTAAAAAAATCATATACCTGAGTCAAGCCACGTGAAGTGGGACCAGAAAATTTCACGAAATCACCGATTTTGAAAATAATCAAATAATTGTGTAGTAGGCATGACTCAAATGTCACAGTAAAAAAAATATTTTAAAATTCGTTTTTTTTGGTAATGTTATTAAGGTTAACAATTTTGTCAAACTTTAGAGCACGGTAAAATTGAAAAAATAGAATCTCTGAGACCACTCTCTATAATTGAATTAAATTTTACACACTATTGTAGCAATGTTTAGACTATAGAATGATCATTTAATTATAGTAAAAATAAAACAATTTTGCATACATTTATTATAAACAATTGAAATTTTGTGTGTGTTCTTTACGCTGAAAAAAAATTAAACTTGTGTCATAATATGCCGCAAACGTTCTTGTTTAATAAAATGTACTCATAAATTTGTCCTTCATATGTTATTCCGAAAATATTAAATTTTTTGTCCCGCTGTGCGCTTGATCAGTACCAGGGTGGATCAGTACCACCCTGATCAGTACGCAGCGCGCTGGCAGCGCTGACGAGCTAGCAGCGAAGCAGCGCGGCGCTGCTTCGCTGCTAGCTCGTCAGCATGCGGTGTGCCTGAACGAGGTTTAAGTCACCTAAACATGCCGCCAAAAACTTACTGCAGTTTCTTGATCGGGACCCTTTGGTGACTTAAAAATGATATTTACCAAAATCCTAGCTGCTACTCTTTTCGAAATATTTTGAAAATTCATGATTTTTGTTTTAAATTTTTGAAGATAAATCTTTTTTGTGTATTATGCTTTTAACTATATAAAAGCTTGATTTTTGGCTAAGTATTAGGCTCAGTATAAAAACCGTATTCTTTAAGTCTCGTTAACAATATACTCCAATAAAAATCGGTGTACAAATGTGTACTCTGGCAAAGGTAGACTTTTCGATAAACAAATAATTAAAAAAAAAATGAATTTTTTACAAATTTTAAAAAAAAGGAGTTAGAATTTTGTTAAATATAGTTTTTAAATAACCAAAGAGTGCCGATCAAAAAACTTCAACCAGTTTTTCTTCAAAATTGAAAACTACTAAAAAGCCTAAATTAAACAACATTTTAAATATTCTCTTTGCGTTATCTTATTTAATTTTAATATAAATCTATTTTTCTTGTAAAAGGTTAATAAGAATGCCATTTTGTAACCTGATAAACGTAGACATATCTAAAAAAAATTGGGGATAAATCTTTTTTGCGTGTTATGCCAAAACCATGAATTTACGCTTTTGCTTTATTAAAAAGTATTCTCTAAGTCTCCTCAATAATATACTCCAATTTTATAAAAATCGGTGAACAAATGTGTACTTTGTCAAAGGTAGACTTTGAGATAAACAAAAATTTCAAAAAAAATCATGAATTTTCAAAAAATTTCGAAAAGAGGAGCAGCTAGGATTTTGGCAAATATCATTTTTAAGTCACCAAAGGGTCCCGAACAAGAAACTGCAATCAGTTTTTGGCGGCATTTTTATGTGACAAACTTTGGTTCAGGCACACCGTTCCGGACGAGCTAGCAGCGAAGCGCGCCGCGTACTTATCATGCGCACGGCGAGACAAAAAATTTAATATCTCCGGAACGACATGTAAAGGACAAATTTTTGAGTAGATTTTATTAAACGGGAATGTTTGCCGCATATTATGACACAAGATTAATTTTTTTTGAGCGTAAAGAACACATAAAAAATTTCAATTGTTTATTAAAAATGTATGCAAAACTCTTTTATTTAAACAAATTTCCCTTAATTAAATGATCATTTTATCATTGCTACAATAGTGTGTAAAATTTAATTTAATTATACAGAGTGGTCCCACAGATTGTATTCTTTCAATTTTACCGTGCTCTTTAGTTTTACAAAGTTATTAACTTTACCTAATAACATTAACAAAAAACCGAATTTCAAAACAATTTTTTTACTGTGACATATGCGTCATGCCTACTACACAATAATGTGATTATTTTTTAAAATCGGTGATTTCGTGAAATTTTCTGGTCCCACTTGACGTGGCTTGACTACCTTTTAGTCCTTTAATCCATATAACAATTATTGTAATCTCGAATATCTCGGAAACAGTTAAGTTTAAGAGGTACACCATTTTAATAGTAGCCGAACTGAGAAATCGAAAAATTGCATTAAATGGTATAAAAACCTAACCTCAAAGTTTGTATGGGACAATAAGCTTAAGCAACCCCTGTTTCTACGACACTGCGTTCACTTCAACAATTGTAATTACGTGTTAATATGTGTTTTGGTAGTAAGTGACTGTTCGCAAAATATCACCTTTCTAACACTTTATAACCCTGTATCTTTTAGACATACGTAATTAGGAAAAATATTTATTTATATTTTCGTCTTATTTTGACTTGCTTAATCTGCTCCTAACTTTATGCCATTAAGTTTAGGGACACCTTGTATATTAAGTGAATGATTCAAGACAAAATTCACGTGCCTATGGGTAGATGGCGTATGAGCGTTAAAACTTGTTTCTGGTCAAAATCGTACATTGATACCGAGACAATTAAGACCATTAGGGCTTTTGGCCACCAAGAAAGAAGAAGAAGAAGAAGCTTTACCTTTTCCAACCACCCGAAGATTTTCAAAGTAGCTACCTTTAAAAATTTATTACAAATTAAATTCCGTTCTTTTGTTTGTTTTGGTGTCCCTTATATCTTTCCGTCAAACATTAAAAAACCGCATTGCGTTCCATTATAAGAAACACGCGCTACTATAGTGGCGCGTAGTACTATACTATATATAGTATAGTAGCGCGTGTTTCTTTTGTATTTGTATGTTTTGAAAATTTGGCATTATTGACAAATTTCTGTTTTCTTTTAGGAAGTATAAGTCGACAGGGATTATAAATTGAGACAGAAAATCTTGAATCACCTATATTAAAATTGTTGTTGAAAACCTCGCATAAAAGATTTTGAAGTTATACAACAAGCTAAAGAAAGCGTTCTTTTTCCAAAAACTATTTTTATACTACGCACTCGCACTTCAATTTTGGATAAGTATTCATATTGTATTCGCAGACTTTTCAATTCAAACTGACAGCTCGTTAAAAGATTTGTTCTTACTTTGCAGTCATGTCTACTTGATTTTCTATAAAATCCAAATTAAAATATGACCCAATACCACAACATTATTAAAGTCTTTGGTTTATACTGATATGTAAAAAAGAAAAAATACCCCACCTTGACAAAAAAAAAATCAGATGTGTTATTTAACAAAATAACAACTACATCTGAAGTCAAATAGTTTAATTGCGACGTAATTTATAACCTTAAAATATTTGTACATTGTGATGCTAAGAAGTGAACATTAAGAATAAACACGGAAGAGTTTCAATACTCGATAAAATGTTCAAACCCGTTACATTTTGAGAAAATTTTAGAAAACAAAGTATACAATATTTGTGCATTTAAAATACGTGCTTGTTTAAGGTTACTATTCAAGTTTTATACAAAAAATTATTACTATATGCTTTCATCCAAAATTTTACAGGATCAACTTTATAAGTCAACTTGTTCGCATTAAGGCCGATTCTCACATAGCGACGCGACGCTACGCTACGCTACGCGACGCCACACTTTAAAATGTAGCTGATGAAAGATTTCCATGCATTTAAATGAGACAATTCCCACATAGCGACGCGCCTAAATTTTGTCGCTTCCTGGAGCGACAATAGGGCGCGATTTTATTTAATAATTATTATTATTAGCAAATGTGCGATAAACTTTTAAAAATGCGTAATAAATAGAGCCGATAAATAAAGAAATTTACGAGTATTATGGACTCAATAGCGCCTCTTTCTTTTCTTTTTTTGGTGTTCATACAATAATGTCAAAACTAATATATCTTCTTCTTCACTTGAAGACGATGAACTACTCATGATAAAGAACTAAACCGAACTAACTGTACTGTATTGCAAATGCTTCGCGACGCGTCGCGCAGCTATGTGAGAATTAAGGCGCGATTTTAAAGCCTCGCGTCGCGTAGCGTCGCGTCGCTATGTGAGAATCGGCCTTTAGCCGATTTTCTAAGGTCGCGCCCGTTACGCCATTCATGACGCTATAAAAGGTTTTCTATACAATTTTTAATTGACATTTTGTTTGAGTTAAATACATATTTTTTATACTATTTCTTTATATTAGCGTATCTTGATATATATGAACAAATACTTTATTATCATGAAAAAACGCAGTTTTAGTGTCGCACCCGTTACAATGGAAATACCCAAATGTAAAATATGTAAATGATAAAAAAATTAGGGGTAAATCGGAGACGATTTTATTTCAATTAGAATTGATATTGCCATGCCCTCTAGTTCTGGAATCCAAAAAAAATGTTGGTCGGTTAATTTATTTTGCCCCATATTATACTGGGGGACATTGTGTAGGGATGTCCATTTATACAGTAGGTATATTACAATGTACAACATGTTGACCTTATTCAGTATTATATTAATATCCATTTGGATTTTATTCGGCGTTCTTTCGAATGTCCGATTTTGGTCCATTTTTTGACATTGGGACGTTCTATGGACGTCCATTGAATTCCCTGGCAGGCTTTCGGCATCCTATCGACGCGCCGACATATTTATGCTGATTGAAACCCATTTATTATTTCAAGAGGATTTTATACTACTATTAGTCCCGGGCTGAAATTAGCTTTATTATAAATTGCGAAAAAGGACATTCCTCAAATGTCAAAAATTATTTAATTAAAATTGGCTTTAAATTATTATTTCTGTTCGTCGTAGATAAAGTAGGTATAGTATATTATGCACTCGTTTTATAAACTTCTCTCGTTTTTAATAAACACTTGCTCGCAAGCTTTGCTGGTGCCTAATAAAACTCGTAACTAAAATGGCGTTTATAAAACTTGATACCTAATATAATTTTAAATACTGCAATTTATAAAAAACTGATTTAAAAATGTGTTTTTAAATAAACAAAATTAGATATTCACATGAAAAAAAAATACTTTATGTTAAAAAATTTTGGCCAAACTTTAACAATAAATGAGTTACAATGGCTTTTAGGTAATACGTTGAAGAAGTTTTTATATAAGTGTTAATTAATCCAAAAATAAACCAGGAATGCATACAAGTAACTTTTTTCTTGTTTGTATTCACTCTTTATAATGCATTTTTAATTTTTATTTTCAGGGCCCTCTTCAAAACATGCCTATCTCCGACTTTAGAAAAAAGAAACTCCTCTACGTATTTCACGTGTTCTTTGGTAAGTAAATAATGTATACTTAATCTATTACCTAATTGATGAGCGATACTAAAGTGGTTAAATTCTCAATTATTTAAAGAAAAAAAAATTCATAAATGAAATTTTTATATATAAACTTAGGCCCGCAACAGCTTTATTTTTTAGATTTTTAACACTCGAAATTGGGAAAAAATTCGTTTTTTCTTTGACACTTTTTTATAATTTTTATATATTAAATGTTGCATTCTGCATGTATGCATGCATGCATTCATATGATAAGATAAAAGGAATGGGTACCTACTTCAGAAACCGAATAAAAAATAAACGGATACAGTTTGCAGAAAGATTTCTCCATTAAGTTAATGTCTTCTATGTATTCTCTTGTAATAGTCTTTTTAGTCTTCACATAAGACATGTTTTGTTAAAACAGGACATTAACTTGCAGGGCCGTCTCTAGATGTTTTGCCGCCGGTATCAAAAATGTAATTTGCAGGCCCACACAGATGGGTTTCCATTTCCCTACTTTAAGTGTACCTAAAAAAAAATTCTATAATAATATATTATGTACAAATATATATATTTTATTTAAATTTTTTCATAAAGCGTTTACGTTTATTTTTTAAATTAATTTAATTTAATTATATGTTTAGTTTTATTTTTTTTTCTGTAATAAGGCATTTTTTATTAAAATAATGTTATGTAAGTTGTTTCAAATGTGTATATTTTCCAAAAAAAATCTATTTTTTCCAGGCCTGGGAAAAAGACCTATTTATCTATCTACAAAAACAAATTTTTTGAAGGTTTTTGGAATGGTGAATATAAATGTCAGGTTATTGAAAAGTTATGACCCAAAAGTATTTTCTCCACAAACCTCGTAACTACTAAAGATTCCCCTTCAAAATTTTGGTTTGGTTTGGGCAGAAAAGATATTGGAAAACTATAATTTTAAGATTGCATAATCGGTTTTGTGAAAAATTATTTAATGATGTAAGAAAATACATTTTTCTACTTCGGAAAGGTTTGGTCTGATTTTAACAATAGGAAGTTGGTTAAATTTTGTATAACTGTGGTATTTATTGTCTTTAAAAGACTCTCTTAGCTTAATGCAAATGATAAATCTGTGTGAACAATACATAATTTATCCACAAATTATCTGATTTACAAGAAATTGCTTTCCTAAATTAATTTAAATGAGTTTTAAGGCTCTATTAAAAAATCCTTTTTTGGACCCTTATTACTTACAGATACAAATGCATTTTAAGGCCCTACTGCAAAATTTCTTTTTTTATTTATCCCCTTAGGCATTTTACCTACTTTTTATTTTTTTTAAATTTTTAGATGGAAACCTCTCAAGTATAAGCTTTGTCGCACATCACAATATAATTAACGTAAATTTATGAAGACAAAATGTCTTTAATAATACACACTAATTATTTAGAATTAAACCTCTAAAACAATATAATTAATGTAAATTTTATTAAGACAAAATGTCTTTAATAATACACACTAATTATTTAGAATTAAACCTCTAAAATAATATATAAATGTTTAATAAATTGGCGGAGAAAAATTCAACAATTATTGTTTTGAAACTTGCCACCCCCAGTAGAGGTTGGGGACCCCCGGTAGTGACGGCCTAGTTATAACGATGAAGAGAGCGAAAACAAAATTTTAAGGAAAGGAAATACATTTTTAAAAATGGACGTCACCTGTCTAATGTAATTTTCAGAACATGTAAGCTTTCATATTTCGTAATATATTTTTTAAATTAAAAATTAGCTCAGTTATATTTGTTTTTACTCAATGATTTGCGGCACCCCGTATTTATGATCAAATTGTCTATTTTAGTCATTGGTACATTTTATTTCAAATTATAATTATTATTATAATTATATATTTAAAATTATATAAATGTTATATGAAATTATTTTATATCAAATGTTATTTCATAATTTTGGTCCATATTACTACTAGATTACCATTAAAATCAAAGTAAGCAAAGTGCATGCAAAAGCCGCGCGCTAGTACAAAGCCCCTGGAAAGGACCAAAATTAATGAGGACCTTAATTAGTTGATAATAGAACAAAATAGAGATTTGTAAAAGCTTATTTTGTCTGCGTTATCTAAAACTCTACACTGCACATGAAAGCTAAAATAATGGTGATTTTCAATTTCTCATTTGTTTATGCAGCTGTTATTCTAACGTGTAGTTGGATACAAAATGTGCAATATGCAGAAATTGGTGAAGTTATTTTTATTTATTATGAACAAACCAAAATAAATTTAAAAAAATATGAAAAAAAAAACATACTAAAACTGATTTTACTTCTATAAGCATATAATTTGTTCACTGAATATTTTTTTACCAAATTACCTTATCAATAAATTTAAGAAATTTTAAAGTGTCAAGCAATTTTTAATTTTTTAAACATATACAGGGTGTTTCATAATATATGCGCAGGACTTCAGGATGTGATAGCTCAACCAAAAAGATGAAAAAAGTCGCTATTAACTTACCCTCTAAAATGCACAATTTTCGAGATACAGGGTGTTGAAATTTTAGAAAAAAAATCGTTTTTTTCGATTATCTCTGGAACCGTTTATCGTACAAAAAACAGCTTTTGTAAGCATTTTCTACTCATAATAAGCTATGTTTTGTGCCAGAAAAAATTTTTTTTTCCTCATAATTGGTGGAGATTTTGAAGGGGTAGCGGGTGTTTTTCTCCTCAACTTCTACGCCCCTGAAAAAAGTACGGTTTCGAGAGGCCCATTCGAACCGCCAATGTTTTCTACACAAAAAAGGTACTCTTGGTCATAAGCTCTAAAGTTGGCCGTTTTCGAGAAAAATCAACTTTTATGTTTAAAAACATGGTCAATTTTATGAAAAAAAAATTTTATTACTAATTAAACAAAATTTCTTTTAACGTTAGAAAAAGTAACAAAACCAAACGATAATTGCAAAATTAAAAAAAATAATAAAAAATGATTTTTTACACAAATGCTGAAATGTGCGAAATGCGTTACCTTTACGGTTTGGAGAATTTAGCAAAGACAACTTTTGAATCATTTTTTATTTTGCAATTATGGTTTGGTTTTGTTACTTGTTCTAATGTTAAAATAAATTTTGTTTAATTAGTGAAAAAAAAATTATTATTTTTTTAATTGACCATGTTTTTAAACATAAAAGTTGATTTTTCTCGAAAACGGTCAAGTTCAGAGCTTATGACCAAGAGTACCTTTTTTGTGTATAAAACATTGGCGGTTCGAATGGGCCTCTCAAAACCGTTATTTGTTCAGGGGCGTAGAAGTTAAGGAGAAAAACACCCGCTACCCCTTCAAAATCTCCACCAATTATGAGGAAAAAAAAATTTTTTCTTGCACAAAACATAGCTTATTTTGAGTAGAAAATGCTTACAAAAGCTGTTTTTTGTACGATAAACGGTTCCGGAGATATTCGAAAAAAACGATTTTTTTTCTAAAATTTCAACACCCTGTATTTCGAAAATTGTGCATTTTATAGCGTAAGTTAATAGCGACTTTTTTCATCTTTTTGGATGAGCTATCACATCCAGAAGTCCTGCGCATATATTATGAAACACCCTGTATAAAATATTTTAAATATATTGTTTACTTGAACAATATAATTTATTAATAGTAGAAACAATATAATGCCAGTATTCCAAAGTTACACAGTTTATTACAGCTACAATATTTTTTTAATCTTTATGGCGTTTTAGTCACGGGGCTGAAGTTAACAGCAGGTTTTTAGTAACGGGCTGAAATTAGATGACATTTGTCAAATGTCATTAAATAGTTAAAAATAGTGCCCTTTATTTAAATTATTATTTTGGAATTTATTTTATTTTCGGCAATAAACTAGATTTAACTGAAAGCAATAAAAATTTCGGCTGGAGACTCCGCCGTGAATGGGCAATAATAATTATTATTGTTATTTTGTTCGGTCGTTAAGGAGTTAAGTAACTATTTTAATAATAAAGGACAAAAATTATTGTTATTGTAAATAAAAATAAATGTGGTGTTAAAATTACAATAGGTATTTCTTGTTTGAATGTGTCATGTTACATTTAAGTTGAAGAACAAACAATATTGTGATTTTAAATAAGAATAAATTTGGTATTGCAATTAAAATATTTTTTGTCCCTTATATATATATATATTATTGAAAATGTTACTCACCCCTTCATCCAATTGCCCCTTCAATTATACTAAACATTTTGTTAAAAACTTGGCTGTTATAATTCGAGAATGCAAAAGAATTTTACAATCAAACAAATTGTTTTCAAAAATAAAACAAATTGTTTTTAAAAACTGTATCCCACAGTTTATAAATTACAAACATGTGAAGAGAAAATTTAACGAATTTAAAAGTATTTTGGGTACATAATAATAATAAAATATAATATAAGATAATATTATTTTTCTACTCCCACCTTTAAAACGCCCATTATCGTACAAGTTTCCATGACACTAAGTGACCTTTTAAATACACATTGACAAGTTGTGGCTTTACGGCGTTTTAGTCGCGGGCTGAATTTAGCAACAGGCTTTTTTAGTCACGGGCTGAAGTTGTTCTTTTAGGGTTGTAGCAACAGATAAGAATGTGTATGCCACTTGGACAAAAGTGTATCCCTCATTTTATTTAAGGCATTCCATACGTCACGGTAGTTTGGCTTCTGATGGAAGAGCTGCTTCGTTACCAGATAGAATATACTTCTGTTGCCTATCTGCTCATTATTCACAATTTCAAGCACCTCTCCAACTTTGGGATTCTGCCTTCGTAGATCGTCACCCATCCAAACTTGTTTTTAAATACAACCGCTATTCCCCTGGACATAGTAAGGTCTTCTGCAACACAGTGAGCCAAGGAGTAATTGGCCTAAACCGTGAACAGATATTTTTGTTCTTCTCGAGTGACACCATACCGAGCTTTTTTACCGCTCGAATATAAATACATGATGTCTTCAAAAGGCAACTCGTCTTCCGGCGGATTAACCCTCCTTACTCTAGCATCGTCTATTTGAGCATTGTTTCGAGCGTAAGGAGCCAATCGGTTGAAATGGAACACTTTCGGCTTTCCTCTTGGTTGTTTCCTGATCCTGTAGATAATGTCATTTACTCGATACATGACTTCGTAAGGTCCCTTCCAAGAAGTCTGCATCTTCGGTGAATAACCACGACGGCGATGAGGGTTGTATAACCAAACTAGGTCTCCAGGTTGAAATTCTCCATTTTCCGCCTTGATGTCATATGCCTCTTTCATTCTATCACTGGTACTCTGGATGTTTAAACGAACTCGGCTGTGAATGTCGCCTATTTTCCTACGTAAATTGCTAACGTAATCTTCTCCAGCAATGCCTTCCCCTGGTAGGCAACCAAACCTCAGGTCACAAGGTAGACGAAGTTCACGTCCCATAACAATGCCAGCGGGTGTCTGGCCGGTTGTACCCGTGGATAGAATAACAGTACGCCAACAGGAACAGATGGAGGAAGCGGTCCCAGTCTCTTTGGTGATC